TTTTGAAGTAGACTCTGCTTCACATAATTCGCCATCCAAACTCGGTTTCCCCTGCTGAGAATATTTAAGCAGTATTTTCTTCATGCAGAAAAGCTGCTGCTTTTTCCACGCATAGCTTGTTGAAGTATTTCTTCTGTATGAAACATTGTAACAATTCCGAAAAATGCAAAAAATTGAAGATACAGAAATGAAAAAAAAACTTAATACCGAATGCTTGAAAATAAGTTTTCTCAAGATGACACCTTAAAAAGATGAATTAGAGCTCGCTCTTGGCAGTTCTCACCGAATACGGGTTTGTTGACCGTATAAAACCATGAGCAAACATTACGCTATCTAGTCAGCATCATAGAAATAAAACAGCTCCTAAGTGCTGCAGTTATGACATTAAAATAAGGGAGTTCAGATGGTCAGAGCTTTATAAAAGCTCAAGATGGGTAGAGTCTTTTTTGTGCTAAAAGTCTTTGAAGACACTGGGATATAAAAAGCGTCCTTCATGCAATTTACTATTATTATCGATTACTATTATTGAGTTGAACCGTAGGTAAGATGAATCAGGTCAACTTTTTAAAAAAATTATTTACATTGTATCTGAAATTGTTCAGTACCTTGTACGATTCTTAAGCCACTCTAGGATCCAAAAAAGACATTTTTTTTGGTTACAAATTTACGCTTTGTGGGAAAGGGTTTAGAGAAGCAAGGATTCTGGTCATAGGATAAAGACGAACACAAAAGCAAAATGAGGAGAATTTTCTAATTGCTACATTAAGTAGTCCAACTTATCATTTCGCTTTGCTCTTCGCTTAACGATATCGTGAATGAACAATTTCTCCTTAATTATCAATCCACATAACGCAGACAGCCGAAACGTTGATGACCCAATGCGCACAGCTGTCTGGAGTAACCTGATCTTAGGAACATCATCTGATCAAATTTCCATTATGTTGCAGATTTGCTCTATCGTACGTATCTTTTCTGAATGCTATATTACCTTCTCCCCTTTCCCTAGCTCTCTCTTAGTGCGTATCAAAAATTTTCAAGGATTTCAAAATACTTGAATGCTTTTAAAATGTATCTATCAACAAAAAGGTTTGTCCCAAAATTTATCCCCACTCCCAGTTGCATTTCAAGCTGGGACAATGTGAGCTCAAGGACAAGGCGCTCGCCCCGCCTCCACGTTACCCGAACTCCAAGACCGCGACCGACCGCACCCTTTCATTTGGTTGTTCACTTTCTAGTGAATAGCATCCTCTAAGTGGTCATCATTCTAATTCCCCACTTTTGCGTAAAACCTTGATTTATCGACATCATTAGTGATACTTTAATCGTGTCACTTACTCACAATGAACAAGAAACCGGTTGTTATACGAAAATCTGCGGAGGGATAGATGTGGTTGTTACGGTGATCTAGACGTTACTCAGGTCTTTGAAAACCTTGTAAAGTGTTGTAGCTGTTCTGTTTACTGTATTAATGTCTTAGCAATTGCGTAAATGTTGTTTTTTTCCCTTACAACGTTCTAACTTGAGCTCCGTAAGACGTTTTAGTAGATGTCATAACTATGATTTTCCAAGTTTCCATAGCAAGGAGATTCATTGGTTTTATGTCTGCAAGGTTCTGAAGGGGGCATAGATCCGTGAATTTGCTACAATTCGCTTTAAGTGGGAGCAGTTAAGAAGTTACACTAAAACAACTAGTTTTTCTATTGTATTTTTTTTTCCACCACATAAATTCATTGATCATCACAAAGCCTTTTTTTCATGTTTTCATTATATATTTAATGAAAATGATTATGGACTTATTGGTCAAAATTTTGAGTAATTCCAGAAATTCTATAAATTATTATTCTAACCTAAACATTTTCACGGAAATCTGGCACAGCTAAAAGTAAATAAATCTTCTAAACATTTCGGTCACGGTTCTCTTTCGCCTCGCTGTTTTCCCTCATACCTCTAAACATCCTCTTATCTCATCTATTTCTATGCGGCGAGCGCTTTTCTCGTTACCATCTGTTGTGTTACCCGAGATTGGATCACCTCATTATCGCGGTTTACCGTAAGAAAGACTATCTCTACACGTTTTGGTGTTCTATGCTATCAAATTATGTTCTTGTATTTGCT